ATTAAGTAAGCGCCATCCGAAATCCCAATTATAACTAACAAACTAATTTATATAATTTTTAAATTACAATCCAAATAACTTTCAATCATTATCATACACAAGTTTTTTTTTTTTTTTTGTTTTTATGTAACTCCCAATTCTTGACAGCTTCTAATTCTAAACTCTTCATTTTAAATATCATCCCAACAATATCCCATTTAACTATTGGGTTTATCATATTTTGCCAATCAAATTCTGCAATAAGAATCAACTTAAATTTAAAAAAACAAAAAATTAACCCAAACTATCTTTATTTAATTTAAAGCCCCTCTTAATTCAGGTATGCACAGAAGCAGAACCAATAACAAGGGAAAATTATAGTCCCAGCCACATAAAATACACACAAGGTGACGAGGGAGGGAAAGATTCGAACCTAGCATCACGTTGGATCAGCAGTGACGCAGAACTAAGGGAGAAGAAGATTCTGGCAACTTGAACACAGCAGAGGAAGAAGAGTCGAGCGACCCGAACAGAGGAGAAAGAAGAAGGGTCTACTGCACCCACGCGAGGCTGATAGAGAAGGAAGATTCCAGCACTGATCCAAGAAGAAGGTCTTGAGAGAGAGACCTAGTTTCGACAACCTAACTCCCAAAGTTTCGCCAGTGACACAAACAGAAATGGTGAAGAAAAATCAGAGCACGAATAGGATGATGCAAGGCAGAGAAGGGAGGATAAAATCGTGACCTCAAGGAACCACCACAGCGGCGAACAGCACCTCCATGGTTGCCGGTGACGGAAGAATGAAGAGGAAAAGGAAGAAGGTTGAACGAGATTGGGCTCCGTCACTGATTCTAGAGAAATCTGATAGAAGTGAAAAGGAGAGAGAGACAGAGAGATGTAGCTCTATTTATATATATGCCTGCGTTCTTTTGATCTTCAGGTTTTTTTTTATTTTATTATTTTTTTAGGGTATTTTAGTATATTTTGGTAATTTTGCTGAGATGAAGGAGAAATAAAATATCCAACTGGCAGTTAAGAGTGTTCAGTCTGAATCCGTCCCGATTGATCTGGTATCGTCTCGATCATATCGGGACGAGTCTTGTTTCGGCCCGAAAATAATCGGGACGAGACTTTACTGGACGGGATAGGAAAGGGATTCGGGACGGGACGGGACACAGGATTACCATCGGGACATCCCGTCCCGTCTCGAATATTATATATTATTTTTTATTTTAAATATATTAATTATATTAATATAATTTATACTTATATTAATTATATCAATTATAATTTAATACTTGCAATTCTTATTTAAAACTAAATTTTTTTATATTGATAATTTTAGTGGCATGGAGTAAACATGGCGATATCTTTCTTTATCATATATTAATTATATTAATATAATTTATTTTTATACCTATCTATTTAATAACTTTTATTTATAATGTATTTCTTGCTTTATTTTTAGAAGAGTAATTAGCTTAGCACATCTTCACTAAAATAGAAGAACAATGATTTGATGTTATGTTTGACTTGCCTATTGTTGTTAATCTTATAACATAAAGATCACTTGTATTTTTTATTATAATGTGTAGTTGTAATTAATATAATTCAATAATTAATTTTAAATTATTGTTATTTATGTACTTGTGTTGTTTTGATTTTAAACTTAATAAATTATATGATTTAAAATTTTAATGAACGTTATTATCCAGATCTTTTTTCGATATTATTGCATTTATCGGGACGACGGGACGTCCCGATCTTGTCCCCGTCCCTTCTCGACTCTTAACGAGACGGAACGACTTTCGGGACGGGACTAGACATGGGACCAAAATTCAGTCCCGATCTTATTTTCAGGACGGGACAGAGGATGGGAGTGTCCCGATCCTGTCCCGTCTCGTGATCACCCCTATTGGTAGTGGAGAAACGTCGAACCCGCATGTTGAGGATGATTGGCCAATATTGTTTCCCTTGAATAGCCAAATTCTCTTTGAACATTGGTTCCATAGGTTAGTAATCATACATTTAGAAAATCTTATCATAATTTATGATTCTAATGAAATTCCTAAATTAGTACAACTAAAATTTAAATACTCACAACAGATATTACTAAGTCATCATTTCTTCTTATAACTTCTGCTCTAAAATTTACTAAAATATAAATCAAAATATTTAATTATAATTTTTTTTTTTACTTAAAACATTAGGTCATTGCATATTAGGATATGTATTTGGACTTAAATGTGCAAGATTATAACTCAATTTGCTTTCTTCAAATATATATTTATGTATTGAGTCTTTAATACGTTAATTCGAGTACTTTGATGACTTGATTTTACATAAATTGATGACATGACGTGCCATCTAAAACTTGGTTACCACATATGTAGTCATATAGGACTTAATTGTTACATATGTTGCCATCTAGAATTTCATTCTCAAAATACTACCTTGGATACCAACTAGACATGGACACACAAGAATACATCAAAGAAGCTCTCTCTCAATATAGCTTTGGGAGAATCACATCTACAACCCGAAAATTTATAATAAAAAATTTCATAAAATTCATAAAATACACCTAGGTCCCAAATTCATTATTTTAAATATATTTTATATTAAATTATTAAAATATCCTTTTATTACTTTTTTATTTTAACAAAGTTCCCCATAACTGGTCATTGGAGTTCCGCTTGGCCACCACCTTGTTGAATATCCAGGAAGACCCCATCACTAATGGGCTAGCCATCAGAGCCTATCGGTATCTGGAGCTTCAATACTACCAAATAAATAATTTTGAAAAAGGTGGTCTTGGTAGGATTAGAACCCAAGACTATATGTTCCCAAAAATAAATGTAAACCACTAGGCTATTGAAGCATTTTTTCTATGCAAAAAATTATATATATATGCATACATATATAACTTGGGAAGAGAATGTTGCTAAATAAAATCTGATAGTTCATAATATTTAAAGTACTTGTTATTCATGCATGATAACTTGTTAATGGAGAATATGCACATTTAATAGTCAACAATGCACAATTACTTATCATTAACAAGTTACCATGCACAAATAATAAATACTTAATGCATTATTGACTATTAAAAATATATATTTTTTATTGACAAGTTACCATGTGTAAATAACAAATATCTTAAATATTATTGACTATTAGATTCTATTTCAACAACATTCTCTCCCCAAGTTTTATATATATATATATATATACATATATAATTTTTTGCATAACTATACTAAAAAGAATCAACAGCTCTACAACTTTTTTTTTTGGCTGGCCTTGGGTTTTAATCCTCCCAAGACCACCTTTCCCAAAAAATTTTATTTGCCTATGCGGGTGCTTCAGTGGCTAGCCCACTAGTGATGAGGATTGCCTGGTGGTCGGTCAGAGCTTCGACGACCAATGTTGGGGAGCTTTTTTCACTAAAAAAATAATACAAGAATATTTTAATAATTTAATATAAAATATATTTAAAATAATAAATTTAAAATTTAGGTGTATTTTGTGAATTTTATTGAATTTTTTTGATAATAAATTCGTTTATGTGGGACCTTGGCATAATTTTTCCTATAACTTTTTATATCATTGCAATGTAATTTGATTTCAATCGTGCTAGCTGAGCTGAACTCACATACACAATATGGTTCCAAAATTACGGAAATTGATAGTGACTGACAACTGACAAGTCTTAATTCAAGTTGAATGGTGGTTTTTGGAATCCAATGCTTTTTTGATGTATCAAAATGAAAATGCTTTGTACGTAAAAGATGCCTTAATGCTTTCTCTAAAACTAATAGAAAAATTATGGCCCCACAAAAATAAAAAATGAAAATGAAAATAAAAACTGATAGGACCACGATCATGATCGACACGCTCAAAATGATGACAATTGATTAATTTTTATGAATTAATATAATCTATAGCTAATTATGCATTTTAATAATGGAAAGAAATAGATTTTTTTTGGTGAGTTTATGAGCTTCCTAATTGGATGCCTTTGGCAGGAAGGAAATCAACCCTTCATTGAGGATAAGAAGCTATGGGAAGAGAAAACAGACATTTCATTCTCTCCATACGTGTTTGCTTTTAAATTTATATGGGACATGCTGTTGACTGATCGTCGGCCACGGCCAATGTTGACTGGTCAATGATGCAAAAAATTGACTTGTAAATTAAATTTTGAAATTTAAATAACTAATGGAAAAATTAAGATGATTCACTTGTATATCTAAAATGTAAAACCACCTATAATCGTAATTTTTCCTATTTATATTTGATATCAAACCACCTAACATAAAATTTACGTTGGATCTCAACTAATTCAAGTCAATTATTAGGTAGGACTACAAGGTATAAGGTACATATCTAGAACTTGAACTTGAATCCATTGATGATTAAGATTGTGCATAACTAGTCATAACTCAACTTTTTTTTTTTTTTTGGGCCAAGTCATAACTCATAACCTGATACCGTATAAGCTATGCATTTATTGGCGATTGTTGATTTATGCATTGATTGTTTACTATGCATTATATTTAAAAATTACTTGTATGATTTTACCAAAAATAAAAGAATATGTAATATGGATGAATGTTAATTGCTTTTTTCTTTTTAATTTGAATAGATATTATTTTCTTTATATTTTAGTATTCCTTTTTATGACTAAAGATTATTATTTTCTTTATTTTTAGTATAATTATTTAAAAATGTTAATTTAATCCTGACTCGTCCAAGTACAGTCTTTCCATTGAATAAACTGGTACCTCAATCGGCCAGTTTTCTCAATAGCATAATTTTTCCCATGCAATTTCTTAACTAGTATTCGACCAAAAAAAAAAAATTCTTAGCCAGTGTTATTTTTGGTCCAAGCATTGAATAGATTGACTCAATACTCATAGCAATAAAAGAATCTTTTTTTTTTGCTATCACAAAAATTGGTTTAAGATAAAAGTCAAACGAAAACGTGGCATTGACCAATGGATACAGATGAATCTGCAATCCTGCACCCTCCAATCATCTTCCTACCTTATCTTCCACGCTTAGATGGTTTCACTGTTCAAATCTCAAAACCTTAGCTTTACCATTGCGATTATGTCGCAGCAACCATATGGCGATTCAAGTAGCCTCATCATCATCCTTCAGCTTCACCAGAACCAAGTACAGATATGAATATGACATTTTTCTGAGTTTCAGAGGCGAAGATACTCGCCACTCCTTCACTGAAATTCTCTATGATGCTTTGCGACGTAAGGGAATCAACGCCTTCATTGACGACAAGAAGCTTGGCAAAGGGGAAGAGATCTCTCCAACGCTTCTCAAAGCCATAGAGAGATCCAGAATTTCCATTATTGTCTTCTCTACCAACTATGCTACTTCCACCTGGTGCCTCGAGGAACTCGCCCACATCGTTTGGTGTAGGAAGCAGAAGAACCAGGCGGTGATGCCCATCTTTTACAAGGTGGATCCATTGGATGTTCAGTATCAGAGAAATAGCTTTGAGGAAGCCATGGCTGCTCTTGAAGATAGGTTCAGAGATGACTTAGAGAAAGTGCGAAAATGGAGGTCTGCTTTGTCTGAAGCTGCTAGCTTGTCATCAGCATGGCTTTTCGAAGATGGGTAGGTTTTGTTTGATTGGCTTCTTCCTGATGAGATTTTCTAACAATCTATTATTGATGGTTATTGGTTTCTAATGACATAACATGCTAATGGTTAGAATCTCCTAGTATAAGCACACTTGAGTTAATTTAAAAAATCTTGCATCGAATAGAATTAGGATTAATAAAAACAAAAACATCATAAACTTTAAGTTTTAAGATTTTAAATAAAGACATATTATTATCTTTTGCTTGTGGCCCATTAGTTTTCTCCCTTTGCTTATGGCCTAGAGTATTTTTTGAAGTATTTAATTTTTTTGGGTCTTTAAAAAATTCTTAAATTTAAGGTTTTTAATATTTATATTTTCATCTTAATTTTTGACCGCAATTTTTGTTAATTTTTACTCAGGAAATAATAAAAAGCGAATGTGTTTCTGTAGGTACGAGTTGGGATTTATTGAAAAGATAGTCGAAGATGCGTATGCTATGCTGCCACCAAAGCGCTTCCATAACACTGATCATTTGGTTGGACTTGAACCTCGTATTGAGGAGTTGATGTCACTTCTGAATAAGTCTAATGATCGTGTTTGTATGTTGGGGATTCATGGAACTGGTGGGGTTGGCAAAACAACCATTGCGAAAGCTATCTATAATTCAATCTTTTACCATTTTGAAGGTTCGTGTTTTTTGTTTGATGTCAAAGAAGCATCAAACAAATATCAGGGCATTGTTCGCCTTCAGGAGACACTTTTATCAGAGATTGTTGAAGAGAAGAGGATGAAGTTTGGTAGTATTGATGAAGGAATCTCAAACATAAAGCACAGACTCTCTCAGAAAAAGGTTTTGTTGGTTCTTGATGATGTTGATGAGGTTGAACAATTAGAACAACTCGCTGGAGGTTGCGATTGGTTTGGATCTGGAAGCAAGATCATTATAACTACAAGAAATAAGCAGTTGCTAATTGCATGTAATGTTAGAGAAACATATGAAATGAAGAAGCTAGACTGGCTTTACTCTCTTGAACTTTTTTGTTGGCATGCCTTTGGTACGAGCCAACCTAGGAAAGGCTATAAAGACATGTCCATTCATGTTATAAGGTATGCGAGTGGCCTTCCTTTGGCTTTAAAATTAATAGGCTCCAATTTGACAAATAAAAGCATTAAGGAATGGAGATCTATATTGAAGCAATATGATGAGATCCCAGAAGGAGCAATTCATCATGTATTGAAGATAAGCTATGATTTTTTGCAAGACGGTGCTAAGCGTGTCTTTTTAGATATTGCTTGTTTCTTTAAAGAGAAGAAATTGGAATTTGTTGAAGCAATACTAGAAGCTTGTCATTGTGGAGCAAGGTTTTATATTGAAGTTCTTGTTGATAAATCTCTGATAACTATTCGTCGTAATGGTTACTTGGACATGCATGGTCTAATACAACATATGGGTAGAGAGATTGTTAGGAAAGAAGCACCATATGATCCTGGTAAACGTAGCAGATTATGGTATAACAAAGATGTTCTCAAAGTATTGTGTGAAAATTTAGTAAGATTCTAGCCAGTCAATTTTATTTTATTCTATATATAGTGTTACGCAGTAGATTAATTGTCTAATTTGATACCTAACATTGTTGCATCTTTGTGCTTGAACCACAGGGAAGCAGTAATATTGAAGGAATAATTCTCGATCCACCTCAACAAGAAGAAGTGGAGTGGAGTGGTTTAGCATTTGAGAAGATGAATAATCTTAAAATTCTCATTGTTCGCAATACCAAATTTTTAACAAGTCCAAAATATCTTCCAAATAGTTTAGTGTTACTTGATTGGCAGGAATATCCTTCAATGACATTGCCACAGGATTTTTCTCCTCCAAAGTTAATCTGCTTCAAGATATATGGAAGCCCTTTCAGATTGGTGGAACCATTCAAGGTCCAGTTATTTTTCACTCTTCCTTCATTGATGATCAAATTCCTTTGACCATAATTTTGTAACATCCCACGCAATTATTCTGTTCTGCTTCCATCCTTTATTTGAACCAAACAGCCGAATTTCTCTAATTACTAGTTTTCGTTTTGCAGAAGTTTGAATATGTGACATACATGGATTTCTCAAGGTGTAAATTCATAACTGAAGTACCTGACATGTCTCGGTTTCAAAATTTAAAAACATTAAGCTTTAGTGAATGTCACAATCTGATCAAAGTTCATGATTCAGTGGGATCTCTATGTAAGCTTGTTGAATTAGATGTTAGCGAATGCATCAAACTTGCAAGTTTTCCACATGAAATCAAGATGCCATCTCTTGAAGTTCTTAATATCAATGATTGCAAGAGTCTTGACTACTTCCCACACATCGTGGGAAACATGGATTCCCTCATGTATATTTATGCAGATGGCAGTGCTATTAATGAGATGCCATCTTCCATTGGAAGTCTTCCAAGGCTTGACAGTCTATATTTAAGATCCTGCAAAAGTCTTGAGGAGCTTCCAGACAGCTTATTGACATTGCATAATCTTAGAGTGATTCTGTTAGGAGGTCTAAAACCTCATGGGAGAAAATCTTTGAAGAAAGTATTGCAAGAGAGCCAGCTAACAATTATGAGCTTCTCGAAGTTAGCTCGCCTAGATCTCCACGATTGTGGTCTTTTGGATGAAGATCTTGACCTAACTCTGAAATGTTTCAAGAATGTGAGAGACTTGAATCTATCATGGAATGATTTTGTGTCACTTCCTGGGTGTATTAAGGAGTGTGTTCATTTGTGGAGACTAATAGTGGGTAACTGCAAGAGACTTAGAGATATACCAGAGCTGCCATCAAGTTTAGGGGACATAATGGCAAATAATTGCACATCATTAACCTTGGAGTCTTCAGGCCGTTTATGGTCTCAGGTTTTTCTCATGCTTTTGTCTATTTTCTATGTTCTAGATTAATCAAGTTACAAAAAGTGTGAATGGTAAGGTAGTAATTATTAATTGGTAATTTTCATTTCCCATATTCATTAATCCTCTGGTTTCTCAAAAACAATCATCAATTCATTTCTTGTCCAATGGCCTTTTTTACTCCCCTTTCCAATTCTTCTTTTATCCTGTAATTAAGATTAATTATTTCATGCTGCAAAGCCCCTCTGCTTTTTGATAAAGGAGTTTTTTTTATCTGGTTATTCATTCTTTAAAATGCTTTTAATATTGACATTCTCACCTATCTCTATCAACAAATTAATGTACAAGATAATAGATTTCTGACTTGAACTTTCTGCTCACCTATATCGCTTAAGTAAGTCAGAATCTCAAAGTCACTGTTTTCCTCCACAAAATAACACAGTCCATGAAATTGTCGAAGCAATTTTTTCTTCAAGTACATTTTTTTTTATTTTATTTTCGAACCAGTGAATGCCTTTGGTTTTTTTGATAAATCAGGCAAAAAAGAGCTTTGGTGTGGGAATCGTTATGCCAGAAACAACATTTCCTGATTGGTTAGACCATTGCTGTAAAGGAGCAAAATTGTCTTTTCGTGTTCGTGGAAATTTCCCTCGTGTCGTCGTCGCATACGAGACGGGGAAAGCAAACACAAGGATGGAATTTTACTCGTTGGAAGTTTTTATGAGCATCAATGGTCGCAATAAAATGTCATGGGTACAAAGTGATCGTGATGCAAGGGAAAGGGGTCGTATCTTGTTGTCTTTTGGTGGTCAAGGTCATGTGTTTTTGTATGATCTGCTTAGTGATTTCAGGGAAGAAGAGTTGGAAGGGCTCAATAAGTTTCTGGATTTGGATTGGAATGACGTGGACATACAAGTTACATGTCAACCACCTGATCTATCCATAGTGAACTGTGGTATTTATGTCGATAAGCAACAAACTAACATGGAGAATATCCAGTTCAAGTCTCCTCTGCTTTCCATGGATACTTCAAAAACTTCACTGAAACGAAAAGCTATAGCTTCTCATCCTAAGGAACCACCCAAGAAGAACTTGAGAAGGTTCAAAGAAAGGACAAGGTGAGACTGTGTGCTTCCTATGTATTAATTGTCGTTTCATGTTTTTTGGATTATCATTAATTTTTTCCCCTTTCCCATATTTGTAGGAAAACTAAACGACGCCAAAATTTTCGTTCGCAGCACAAGAGAAAGATGTTTTTTCCTATGGCTAAGCATCTTTGGAGAGCTTTGTACTCTTAGGTATCAAATATTACCATTCGTAGCCCATTGTTAGCCAAAAAGGATTGTTGATCTGCACGAGTGTTAATCCCAAGCTGCATAGAGATGATTATATGGATATTGTTTAAAGTTGAGAAATTCATTTCTAGCTTTCACAAATTTTATCATCGATAAAGAATTGAGCTCCAAACTTGCTCTTAAGATTATACCCAAGCACCCATAGAATTATTGAGAAGATTGTTGAATCACTCTTTGGCCTTGCCTTGTAAAGAAAAAGATGATAAGTGCAATTTGAAAATATAATTAGGTACCTTATTTTGTTTGAAAAAATCACATACTTTCAAAAAAAAAAATCATATACTTGTTGGCATCTTCATTATAAAGACCATTGAGGATCACATTCAACTGAAACATTGTGATTATGACAGGTTTGATATCAAAAGTATATGCTAAAAACTCATGCATTAGAAAATATAAAATTGAGTACCCTTCATATTCTAATTATTAGCAAAGTCATTAATTGAGATAATATCATACTCGTCTTGTGGCATATTATTAGATTGAGTTTCAAGAAGTATTTCATAATTAAGAGATTCAATTTTATCAAATATTGTCACTCTTTTCAGTTTTTTCATATCCTGGCGTATGCTAGATAGGTAAGTGAAAGAAGAAAACAACCAAGCAACTATCAAACTAAAACAAAAATAAAAATCAATAAGCCAAGATAAAATAAAATATCTACAAGCTCAAGCAAAATTTACTATATTAGCCTAAAGTTACTAAAATATTTTCAAAGCCAAATCCCTAGTACTAACACCAAAGGCTTGTTCTCTTTAACCCATAAATGTACAGGTCATGACAAGTAGTAACAACAACAACAACAATTTTTTACATAACAAATAATCAATTTAAAAAATACACAAGTCTTGATTTAATTGATAAAAAGGTCTTAAATATATAAAATTAAGTATATAAGTTTTTTCAATTTTCAAATTACCATAATGAATTGCATAAGTTTTTCTCGCTTTTTTCTCTCCCATGTTTAATAGTTTCACTCTTTTTCAGGGGTATTTTGGAAAAATGGGAATACTTCAGAAAAAGTTAACAACAATAGTAATCATAATAATAATTAAAAATCAGACTATTTACAAACTATAAATAATATGATAGTAAGATTTGTTTTTCAAATTTTATATAATATTTAAAAAGTCATAAGTCACCGTGTTTATATTGAGCAAACATATGATGGAAAAAATGGGGTGTTAGTGCTTATCACTTGATGAGCATCATGATGCTTGTATGATGGAGCATCTAGATTGTCCAAATTTACAAATTTTATTTTATACTTAATAAAAAAATTTAAAAATTTTAATAAATTTATATTATATTATCACCAATATGTACAATGCAAATTTAATTTGAATGATTTAATTTAATATTAATTTTTTTATAATTTTAGAAATTGATTATTCAAATATATTCTAGATAATTTAAATTTAAAATTTTTAACTCGTAACTTTTTCTTAAAACTTTTTTAAAGTATCAGTTTGAATATTATCTTTAATTTTAATTTTTAAAATTATATTTACTAAGATAAAAATTTACAAAAATTTTAAAAAAATTTAAGCAGAGTTGTTAGTTAATTTCAATAAGACGATTGATTTCATTTCTTAATGCATTATCATAGTAAATTTTGGCTACACATGTTTATGACGAAAACAATATGTTATATCTTATATATGTTTAATTTTTTAATGACAATTATCATAGAACTTTATTATAGAAAAACTTGGTAAAATTGTTAAAATATCCATTGTTATAATCGTTATAATAAGGTGTTTCTGTTTAGTTTTTCTTTCCTGTTTATCTAAAAAAAAAAAATCTCCTGAAAATGTTCTTTTCATGTTTAGTTATATATAACACCCCATAACTCCCAAATAGATTTATTTATTCGAAGTTGGTATTTGTAACATTTTCACTTTGACACACTCAAAGAACTGGATTTTCAACATTGACAACTGAACTATCAAATGCTTGAATTAACTGATTAAGAATTATTTCAGTTTAACTAAAAATTTTGAGTTTGAGTTTAAGTTCTAGATATGCATTACATTATTTGTGGTAAATATATCTTCAAAGAGGTGCTTGCAAGTTGTTGACCAAATTAATTTGGGTCAAGACCTAAGATATTGGAAAAAAAGGGGGGGGGGGGGATATTATTGACACCTGACAGTATTGGATTCCAAAAGACACCACCCAACTTGAATTAATCTTGTCAGTCATCGCTGTCAATTTGCTCAACTTTGAAACAATATTTCTTCCGAATCCGAATCACCTGAGGCATCATCTTCTGCACCGTCCACCGGAGAATCAAGTTCCAGACATTATGAATCCATGTTTTCCTGAATTTTAGAATCGAATCAATATTTGATCTTTTCTGTCCACTATCAACCATATGGGTTGCATTTTTTAAGAGCAAAAATGAGAGTTAACTCTCAAAACATTAAATTAATGAAAGTTTTGTATTCGATAAATTTTTTTAGAAATAAACGGTAAAGATACTTTAATCTAAATAGTAAATTTGGAAGTTTTAAATATAATTTTTAATTTGTAACTATTTTGCAACTCATTTTTTCAATAAATTTTATCAAAAATTTAACTATCATTAATTTGATCTTTCAAAATTTTATTGTCATCTTTTTTTTTAATTAGGCAAAGCCGATGATTGAGAAATATAATATATATATATATATATATATTACATATGGCCATGACATTTGAAAACTAAACAATTTTATTTATAATAAACTATGGAATTTGAGATGAGACACATTGTTATAATCAGTTATTACTATCAAATTGTTATTAGGGAAAATCAATCTAAAGGACAAAAATATTTATTTTTAAAGAAGGAGAAAAGGATTAGATCTAGACATTTAGTTAACTAACAAAAGACCAGCAATTGTAAAATACTGATGGCTAATAGTACAGAAATCTCCAAAATTGCTTGCGCATTGGAAAATGCCTCTTGTACCACGAGCGAATAACTTGGTGTCGTTTTCTTCCCCTACAATACATGAAAGGGAAACGAAACAATCAAAATTAATAATGAGCAAAAACCTTGAAATTAAACGACAATTAGAGTGCATATAGGAAGAATTATACAGGCTGACTGGCCTTGACCTTTTTTTTGTGGTATTGACTTCTCCTTTATCAGCAGCCTTGAAATTTCTCAAGAGCTTCCTGGCTGATTCATTAAGAGCAGAAGATATAGCTTTTCGTTTCAGCGGTGAAATTGTTGAAACCTTTATGGAAAGTCTTGGAGACACGAAGCGAATATTCTCCATGTTTGTTCGTTGCTTGTCCACATAAGCTCCACACTTAACTATGGAGATATCAGGTGGGTGACATATAACATGTACATCCACATCATTCCAATCCAAATCCAAAGACTTGTTAAGCCCCTCCCAATCTTCTTCACCAAGATTCTGAAGCAAATCAAACAAGAACACATGACCTTGGTCACCAGAAAAAATCAACACAACACCATCTCTAATTGCATCAGACCCATAAAAGGACGCATAACTTTGTATCCACGGCATTTTACGATCATTGATTCTCATGAAAACTTCGAAGAAGTATCTGTGACTCGCCTTCGCTTTGTCTGATTCAACTGCGACTACAAGACGAGGGAAATTTTTCCCATGAACTCGGAAAGACAATGTCCTTCCTTGACAGCAATAATCGAACCAATCAGGGAATTTTGTTGCTGGCATACCGATTACTCCGAGAAAGCATTTTTTAGCCTGATTTATCGAAACGGTAGAGATCAAAGGTGCTTTTAGACTTAAAAACAACATAGAATAGAATACTTCAACAAGAAATCTGTACTCATATACCTAACCCTCTATTTGAAACAAAAAGAATAGAAAGAACTTATATACTTAGTTTTATATATTTACGGTGCTTGTTTTTAATTAAATCAAGATATATGAATCTTTTATAGATTAATTTCATAACAAACTTGTTACTAATATTATTAAGACACATTAAAATCTATAGTACATTTTAATTTAATTAGATAAAAGTATATTAAGTATATAATGTGAAGTACCTAAGTCTTGCCCGAAAGAAAATAAGGGGGAGAATAATGAGAGAACTAAAAGTATACAAAATGGATAAATTTTTTCTCCTTAGCATAAAGTTTTTCTTTAGTTTTCCCCTTCTTTAGGAGAAAACTAAAGATGAAAAATATCTTTTTCCTGTAATTTTCTCCCTTAATCTTTTCTTATCTCAATTTTCTTTTCATTCTAAAATAAGGCCTAACAGTCAGGACATTTTCAATTTATTAGTTATTTTAAATGTCATCTTTTCTATACAATTATAACATGATATATATCCAGAAATTCATAACTCCCGTAGCTTTAAAGTTCAACATGACAAATGAAAATTATCAAAAGCATGAGAAAAACCTGAGACCATAAATGGCCTGATGACTCCATTGATAATGATGTGCAATTCTCAGCCTTTATGTTACGCAATTGTGATGGCAGCTCTGGTATGTCTCTTAGCCTTTTACAATTATTCACTTCTAGTTTCTTCAAGTAAGTACACTCTTTAGTGCACTCAGGAAGGGTCGCAAAATAATTCTTGGATAGATCTATGTTTTGAACGTTCCGAAAACATGCCAGAATTACATGAAGATCTTCATCCAACAGACCACAATCTTCGAGACACAAGTTCTCAAGGTTCGTACAACAAATAACTGAGGATTGGCTCTCTTTCACTAATTTCTTCATATATTTTTTTCCAGGACGTTGAATGCCGGCCAAATCAAGGTTCTCAAGATTTTCCAACTTGAATAAGCTGCTTGGAAGCTCTCTAAGACTTTTGCAGAACCTTACAGATAAATATTCGAGCCCAGAAAGATTTCCAATGGAAGATGGAAGCTCTTTGATGGCAGTTTTATCTGCTGAGATATGTTTCAATGCATCCATGTTTCCCACTATACGTGGAAAGTAATGAAGATTCTTGCAACTTGTGAGATTAAGAACTTGAAGAGATGCCATGTTGATTTCACGTGGAAAGATTTTAAGTTTGGTGCATTCTCCAACATTTAATCGGACCAGCTTACAGAGAGATCCCACAGAATCATGAACTTTAATCAGATTGCGACATCTAAGAAAGGTCAATGTTTTTAGATTTTGAAATCGGGACATATCAGGTACTTCAGTTATGAATTCGCACTTTGAGAAATCCATATATGTCATATATTCAAACTTCTGCAAAACAAACGCCAAAATTATTTAAGCCTCTCAATTAATCATTATTTATCATGTACAAATTCAAAGAGAAAGCCCATCTAATTACTTAGCTTCCTCTGTTTCTATATATAAGATATTTTCTAAAAACTTATTTCATCCTCAAATATAACAAGTGTCATGATATTGTTGAACAATTAAACAATTTTGTCATTGTCTTGAAAAAGAAGATATTAATTATGTACTATACCCACTGCCACCATCATATTAATTGTGATATTATTGAGGGCAAAATTAAAAAATTATTGTGATTTCAAGTAAATAATAAACTTTTATTGATATATGAGATTCTGTTAAAATCACATTATATATAGGGATTCTTTTTAAAAAATATATATATAGGGATGGAAGAAGTGAAAGACTAACGTAACATGAGGGAGAGCTCTTAAAGTTGTAAACATTATTTATGTAAAACTCTCCAATGTGGGACTTTGTTATACGGCAAGAAATATTATCTTTAAAATAGAATATCCCAACCCCCATCACCAAAAAAAGAAAGAAAGAAAGACTATTCCAATCTCCCTGTGGTTATCTAATCTTATACTAAATTTCTTAAAAAAAAAAAAACCTCCTTTGCATTATATGTGAGAAGCCTATATATAGAATATAAGAAAATGCAAGGAGAGTTACGGTCATTTATACGTTCTTGATACTTATGAGAAAATTAATTATGGTCCAACAAAGGATAAAGATTGAAAAGAAGTACCTGGAATGGCTCTTTCAATTGGAAAATACTTCCATATAACTTGAAGCAAACAAGTTTTGGAGGAGAAAAATCTAGTGGTAAAGTCGTAGAAGGATATCCCTCCCAATCAAGTAATCTTAAACTATTGGGAAGATATTTAGGACTCCTTGAAAATTGGGTATTTCGAATGAAGAGAATCCTTAGATTAATCATCTTCTTAAGGGCTAAACCATTCCACTTCACTTCTTCTTGTTGAGGTGGATCAAGTAATATTCCTTCAATATTATTGCCTCCCTGCAATGCAAGTTCAAACAACATTATTAGATATTTGCCAAACTTGCGCATAATAAATTTAATGTTTATGACTATAAGAAAATAGATAAGTTGAAGATTCTTACTAAATTTTTACGCAGTACATAAAGAACATCTTCATAATACCATAACCTGCTGCGTTTACTAGGATCTGAAGGCGCCTCACGCCAAACGATTTCTTTACCCATTTGTTGTATTAAATCATGCATGTGCAAGCAACCATTATCATCAACCATTATCAGAGATTTATCAACAAGAACTTCAATATAGAACCTTGCCCCACAATAACAGGCTTTTAGTATTTCTTCAACAAATTCCAATTCCTTCCTGTTAAAGAAGCAAGCAATGTCTAGGAAAATACACTTAGCACTGTCTTGTAAGCAGTCATAACTTACCTTCATTACTTCATGTATTGTTCTTCCTGGGACTTTATTATATCTTTTCAATGTAGATATCCATTCCTCTAAGTTTTTATGTGCCAAAGTGGAGCCTACTAATTTTAAAGCAAGAGGAAGGCCATGTGCATAATTTATAACACCAATGGACATATTTCTGTAGCCTTTTGGAGGTTGGCTTGTACGAAAGGCATGCCAACAAAAGAGTTTAAGAGAGTCACGCTCATTTAGCTCCTTCATTTCAGATGTTTTTTTAATATTGCGCACAATTAGCAATTGCTTGTTCCTTGTTGTTATAATGATTTTGCTTCCACGACCAAACCAATCACATGCCCCTGCAAGGTTTTCCAACTGTTCAACTTCTTCAACATCATCAAGAACCAACAATACCTTTTTGTTAGAAAGTCTATGTTTGATAATAGATTTTCCTTTCTCAACACTGTGAAACTTCATCCTCTTTTCCTCAAGAATTTCTGATATAAGTGTTTGTTGAAGGCGAAGAAGACCGTTGTATTTTGTTGATTCTTCTCTGACATCAAACAAAAAACATGCACCTTCAAATTGGTAGAAGATTGAATTGTAGATAGCTTTTGCAAGGGTTGTTTTGCCAATTCCACCAGTTCCATAGATTCCCAACATACAAACACTATTATCAGTTTCATCCAAATGTGACTTCACTTCTTCTATGTGAGGCTCAAGTCCAACAATGTAATCAATGTTATGGAAGCGTTTAGGAGGCAACCTAGCATATGTATCTTCAACAATCCTTTCAATAAACCCAAATTCGTATCTGCAAAAGGGAAAATTATGGTTTTACTATGAAGATGAATTTCGCAAAAATGTTCTCTTTTGTATATTTTTATTCTCGTTTATCAAAATTTTGATTCTTTGAAAATAACCTCAATATTAATTAGCTCTACTCTCATTTTTTTAACCACTTCATTATTTGTATGAATTTTTTTAAATTATAAAATTATGAAACGTTTTCTGCTACTTTTAAAATGATAACAATTAAGTAAATTATGATAACAATTAAGTAAATCCAAAAGAATAATAAAAAAAAGTCATAAAATATAGAACAGTATAAACTTTTAAATTGAAAATAAAATTATGAATATTAATATAAAATCTTTCAAATTAAAAAACACATGTCTAATTTACTAAGAAGGAAATTTATGTTGTAATCATTCAAAAATGACCATGATAGTGTTGTATTCTAAAGCGTCATAAAAAAAAAACATGTGTTGTATTCTAAAGTAGTGTTACAATTGATAACTGGGTTCAGAAGCTTAAACATATATATATATATATATATATATATAAGCCTTAAATTTTAAAGTTGAGGACTCAAAAGCTAAAACTTTATAATCCGATCATCATAAGAAAAATATTTTGAAGACGACAGCTTTACAACACCTTTAATTTTAACAGAAAAAATGTCATAGATCAAAATTTCAAACATCTTCAATATATATCGTGGTAACCAATAATTAATTATTATTCGGAAATTTCATCTGTAGAAGGAAATCAGAAAATAGTACAAGCAAACTTACCCATCTTCGTAAAGCCATGCTGATGACAAACTCGCAGCTTCAGACAAAGCAGACCTCCATGTTTGCACTTTCTCCATGTCATTGCTGAACCTTTCTTCATGAGCAGCCATGGCTTCTCCAAAGTTATTTCTCTGATACTGAACTTCCATGGGATTCACCTTGTAGAAGATGGGCATAACCACCTGGTTCTTCTCCTTCTTACACCGGATGATATGGGCAAGTTCATCAAGGCACCATGTGGAAGTACCGTAGTTTGTAGAGAACACAATAATCGAAATCCTTGACTTCTCAATGGCTTTAAGTAGCGTAGGTGCGATCTGTTCTCCTTTCCCGAGCTTCTTGTCGTCGATGAAGACGTTGATTCCCTTCCGACGCAAAGCATCGTAGAGAATCACAGTGAAGGAGTGGCGAGTATCTTCGCCTCTGAAACTCAGAAATACGTCGAATCTATACTTGGTTTCGCTGGTAAAGCCATCAGAAGATAATGTTACTGGGGCTTGAATCGCCATGGCTGCGATAATCCTGTTAGCTAGCTAAACACAACTTACAGAAACGTACTTTGGTTCATTAAATAATATCCCTCCCAGAAGATGATGCTTCGATTTTGTTCGATTTTCGGGAACAAAAGTTTTTGGTGCTGAGCCCAGGCCCAGACGCAAATTTTTAAACATTATTAAAACAAGTATATCTATATATTGTTAGGTCAAATTTTTTTTTTTAATATTTATCATAAATAATTTTTTCATTTAAAAACATTAAATAATAAATTAATTAATTAATTAATATTCAGGCCAATCAACTCTGAAAATGGACCTAATGGAATTAATGAAAAGAGAAATTAAATTAATTCCTCATAATATGATAAATTAATATTCGAATTGTAATTAAAGAAAATGTTTATATTTAATACGTGACAATCCTTCGAACAAGTTTGCCGATGAGTGGTGCAGACTGCACAAAATGATCCCTTTTTTTTTTTGGGTTAAACTTTTATCGTTTCTGGAAGCGACTGTTCTAAAAAATAAAAACATTATAAAAGTAAATGAAAAATTATTTTATTCAAAGTCAATACTCGTTCGATTCTTGAGTTATAATTTTTCAGTGAATTCTGGGTTTTTTTTTAAAAAATTAAGAGTCAATAATCATGAGGGAATTATTTCATATCCATTGTTGTGTTTTAACTTAAATTTCCCTTTTTTCCCCCCTCAACTTGTTACATATGTGATATTCACATTTTATATTACTAGCTAACATGAGTTCAAAATAAGTCAGCTGGAAGAAGCTCTCTCAATATATAACATTTTTATATCATCATATTTTTAATTTTATCGCGTTAGCTGAGCATAAACTTAATTACAGAAATATTAATTGTTTCAAAATTAAGCAAATTGACAGCGACTGGCAAGTCTAATTCAAGCTGGGTGGTGTCTTATATGGAATCCAATACTGTCAGGTGTCATTGTTGAAAATGCTGTAGAAGATGCCCCACTGGTTTCTTTGAACGTTATTGAAGATAGACACATAATGTAATATTTGTAATTTTGTCGTTTTGTACATCGGGTTAACATATCAATGTGAGTATGTGTCATGATCAAGAGGATCAAGAATAATGGCAATTAGTTAAATTTTTAATGAATTAATATAGTTATATCTAATTATGTATTTTAATTATTGAAGAAATAAATTTTTTAATTTTATAATTTTTTTAATATAGATATATTTTGAACAATATAAATTTAATATTAAATTTTTTAATAATTTTTTATTTTATTAAATATTAAAATAAAATTATTAAAAAATTTAACTTTAAACCTTGTAGATAAAATTTTATATCTAAATAATTAATTTATAAAAATTATAATATTAAATTAAATTATTCAGATAACATTATTAAATTAATGATGTATATATTTATTAAAAAATTTACAATTTTTCATTTTTATTAATATAAAACTGTCCAGATTATTTTCTGGGTGGACCCATTTCAAGCTGGGTGGTGTCTTTTGGAATCCAATACTGTCAGGTGTCAGAATTAATTATTCTTGAAGAACGTGCCTCACCGGTTTCCTTGTTTGAACTAAAATGAAAATGCCTTGTACGTAAATACTCCCTCTATTTTTATATATAAAACAAATATGTCACACAATTTTAAAAAAAATAATTAATTATAATAATTATATTTAAAAATAAAAAAATTAGATTAAAATATTTTATATTAATTAACATTAGCATGTATTAATTATTTTTTATTAATGTAAATTATAAAAAATGATTTAAAAAATATGTAATACATGTTTATTAAAATATGTGATTTTATTTAATAAAAAAAATAAGTAAAAAGTAATTTTTTTATAAATAAAAATGGAATAGTATACTTCAGTATGCTTTCTTTGAAATGAACTTTGTTATACCTCTGGTGTATTATAAAACACTCCTAATCACTTTATTAGAATTAAAAAAATAATTAAATTATTAATTTTATTTAATAATTAATTTTATTTTTGAAATTTATAATTATAAAAAATTATTTATTAAAAATTGAATATTAAAAATATTATTTAAATGAGAGAGGTGGGCATTTCTAGTTAAAAGAAACGCCACATCTCTCTAATCAATAAAATTTCTATTAATTAATATTATTTTTAAAATATATACTTATTAAATAATATACAAAGTATTTAAACGAAAGAGGTGACTTTTGCAAGTAATGTAAATGCTACCTTTCTCATATAAGTTAAACTCTTTTTAAAGTAATATTATTTTAAAAATATATATATATGTATATAAAATAATGTTTATCAAATATTAATATATGTTTATTAAATATTAAAAAATTATTTAAATGAAAGAGGTAGTGTTTTCAAGTAACAGAAATGACACCTCCCTATTATAGATTAAAATTTTTCAAATTAATATTACTTTAAAAATATATATATATATAAATAATGTTTAACAACTATTAAATATTAACAAAATCATTTAAATGAGAGAGGTGGCAATTTTAGGTGATGGAAACGCCATCTTCTCTTATAAATTAAATGTTTTGTTAATTAATATTTTTTAAAAAATATATAATTATTTTATTTTATTTATTAAATATAAAATAATAAAAAATTATTTAAATAAAAGAGGTGGTGTTTTTAGGTGATGGAAGTGCCACCTTCTCTTATAAATTATATTTCTTTTAAATTAATATTATTTTTTTAAAAAAAATATAAAAATAATGTTTAACAAATGTTAAATATTAAAAAATTATTTAAATGAGAGTGGTTGTGTTTCCAAATAATAAAAACGCCACATCTCTCTTATATATTAATTATTTTATTTATTAATATTAATTTTAAAATATATAATTATTACATTTTATTTATTAAATATAAAATAATAAAATTTTATTTAAATGATAGAGGTGGCGTTCCTAGGTGGTGGAAACGCCACCTCTTTTTTAGAGGTTAAATTCTTTTTAAATTAATATAATTTTTAAAAAATATACATATAAAGAATAATTTCAACCAAATATTAAATATTAATACAATTATTTAACTGAGAGAGGTGGTGTTTTCAAGTAATAGAAATGCCACCTCTCTCTTATATATTAAACTTTATATTAATTAATATTATTTTCACAATATATAGTTATTAAATTTTATTTATTAAATATAAAATAATAAAAAATTATTTAAATGATAGATGTCTCTCTTATGGATTAAAATTTTTGTAATTAATATTTTTTTTAAAGTACATAATTATTAAATATTATTTATTTAATATTAAATATTAAAAAATTATTTAAATGAGAGAGGCGGTATTTTCAGGTGATGGAAATGCCACCTCTCTCTTTAAAATTATTTTTTATTAATTAGTTAATTTTTTTTTAAAAAAATCATAGTAGCAGCATTGCTATCATTGTAATTTTTAATTATTTTTTTTAAAATTGAGAACGGTTTTTAACTCTTGTTAAAAATTTTAAACCTTAATTTTTTTATCTTAGTCGTTTGCTCTTATCTCTTGCAATCTATAAATTATCTATTCTCTAATTGTTGAAAGTGCTCTTGTCATTTTCTCTTGCTAAGGTCGCTTGTATGAGTATATTAATAATAGGTTTCTTTTTTATTTTTATTACCTTTTATCTACCTATCCACACACACACACAGATCCATATATATATATGGATCTTTATGATTTTTTTGATGTTTATTTTCATTTGACAATTTTTCTTTTCACTATTGAAGGGTTTGTTCTTTTAATTTGTTAATAGGTATATCTGTTGGTGAAATAATTCTCTGCGTATAAATCTTTTTTCAAATATGGGGAACAGACAACAATCTTCAATCTTTGTGCTTTCAGTGATAAATAATTTAGTTTTGTCAAGCTTTGAACTTTCAAGATAGTAATGATGATAATCTCTGTTAACCATCGAGAAAGAAACTTGTTAAATATCAGTCATATTTTTTTTTGATTTCACTGTTTATTTATTTTTGTTGTAAGTATTGTTTTTGATAATTTTATTGCAAAAATTGCTGATAAATCTTATTATATATCTTAACATATATTTAATTTATGTTTTTTTCTTTATCTTTGATTTTTTATGACCTTACTAAATTTATCATAGTTTTGTATAGTTTGAAATTGATTATTTATTTTTGTTAATTATATAAATAAAATTTATTGTATAAATTAATTGTGTATTTACTAAGAAAAATATATATAAAAATTGATAGATATATAAGAAATTATATATATATATATATATATTAAAAGTGGTAATTTTTAAATTTTTTTTAAAAAAAGGAAATAGGACCTATCTCTTTTTATTTTTTAAAAAATTAAGTAAAGAGGTGGCGTGTTCTACAAAAAATGCCACCTCTCTTTTCTTTTATTTTTTAAAAAATAATTTGAGAGGTGGCGTTTTCTTAAAAAAAAGGTCACTGTTGCTACTATTTTTTGTAGCATTTTATTAATTAATGAAACTTTACCTAAAATCTAAAATATCATTGAATTTTATAGTGTTTTATGAACGTCACGAAATTAAAATTTTAAATATCACTAAAACCTATTTTTGTAATTGTGTAAAAAGCCATTACCAGTTAAGATGTCACATTGAATAGTAGAGATGATTATGAAAGAGTAGCACAAATATTTATATATTAATTCCAAATAATTAATGTCACTAATTTCATTGCAATTAAAAAAGTTGCTGTAGTGACTCAAAGAAAATTAATTAAAGTATATTTAAAATTATAATTAGATAATTTAAATGTAGTTCTAATAAATTTTGGAGTAATTTAACAAAATTAATGGGTAGTTGAATGGTAACTCAGTGTGTGTGTACTTATAGGTCCAGTATTCGAACCTTGCACAAAGCGTAATGTTATTTTGCTTCAGCCTTTGTCAAAATTACATTTTTGCCCCTCTAGTAAAAAAAAAAAAAAATCAGAACTCGCACGCGTTGATTTCTTCTCTTCCTCATTTCTTCATCTTTGTTCGGTGATTGAGGGAGAAAGTTTCCAGAGTTTTTGATTCCTGGTTCTGCCTCTTCCTCCGTTCTGTCCCCTCCATCGTTTTACTAACCAAAATCAACCCCTCGATGATTTGATCGGTGTAGTAATCTGGATTTAATTCTTGTAAACTCAATAGATGATAAACCACAGTATATTCTGCATGGCTTGCATTTTGATGGTGATCAATGAGTCCTTGCAAAAACTCATTGACTCTCTCAGAAAAACTTCTAAGCCTCTTCTCCAAGTTATCATAATCAATCTACCTCAATATGGGCAAAAAGTCTCCAACATTGCTTGCCCCTCCCAACTTTGGTAACTCATTTATGATATTTTGGAACATCTTTGCCTCTTCCACATCTGCCTCATCAATGTCATCTCCCAAATATCTTTTCCCTGATATCATTCTCATTATATTGTTAAATGTCATCTCTAAAAACTTCGATTTCAATTCCACCTCGACAAAGCCCTTGTAGGAAACATGGGCGAGCTTTCTTGTAAGGTGCATCATTTCGTTTGTTCTTGTTTCCAAGAAATATATGGTTAAGACGATGTGTCGAGAGGATCTCAACCATCATGATTTGCCGGAGATTACGCTAGTGGTCGCCATAGCTGGTGAATGATATAGTGGTGTAGTTGTAACTGATGTACTTTCCATTGATTAGCCAAGGCCAGTTAGCCAATGTGATGTCATTAGTGGTGAAACATTCTTGAACAGAAGAAGGCGATGTGACAACCACAAACAAATGAGAGCAAAACCAAAGAGAAAACATTTTACCATAGTGCTGCGAAAGGCGATGTAATTTGAGATGGAGTGGCTTCTTGAGTTGATGGAGGTTTCCGATCACCGAAAGATCAGGCAGTGTTGGAGGGATGTTTCAGAACCTCCTTCTCTGGAGAAGGAACTTGAGAGTGAAGAGAGAGACAAGCAATATGATAGAATAATAGAAGAGGGGCGTCATGGTTGATCCTTGATTCATGTGAGCTCTTCTCTGTCTGACAAAGGATGATTGAGTTGCCACGGCATTTATACATGTAAGGAGTGAGGTTATTTTTTGAGGTTCATTGAACCTCTAAATGTAATAATGACAGTATTAAATATATTAATTATTATTGGCTTTATTTCCAATTGTATAAAAAAAATTATATTTTAAAGATAAATACTCCCTCCAAATCACAATATATATCATTGCTAACTAATCCATTGTTAGCTGAAACTTTGATTTTCAAAAAAATGTTTACATCTTTTCATTTTTGTCCTTTCAAGAGTTCATAATAACACATATATGGTCTTTAAATATGGAGCATTTAAAAATAAGGAATAAAAAAAGTAAGGTTATAAATGAGAAAAAAAAACATAAAATTTATTCAATGCTCGATGTTTTGAATCAAGAGATGCTTTTAGAAAGCAATTTACATTGGACTAAATAACTCATGACATGAAAACTTTAATTGGAGATTCAGGCACAAGCATGTAATAAATACTGGTAAAAAACTGATTCATGTAATAAATATGGTTAATGTATTTTAGATTTTAAGAGTCATAATGATTATATTGTTACTACATGCATATAAAAGCCATTCATCTTCTCCTTAAAATATTTTTTTCTCCTTACTAAATTATAAGACTCTTTTAGAAAAGATTTAACGTTTCAAAATATAAGAAAAATAAAGTTTCATTAATAATACTTTTTCAATATTACCTTTCCTATATATTCTCTTTCTTTAATATTCTTTCATCAATGGAGTATTAAATGAAGAGCATTTTTAAAAGTTTATATTTTTGTCTTGAAAAAATAAGGTTATAAAATGTATTTAATGAATTTTATTGGTATATGAGATTTTGTCTAAAAGTATCTTATAATTTGAGATGAAGGGAGTAATAATAATAATAAGAATGCCACTTGTATCTAATTTCTTCTCCATACCATTTCTCGTTCCTGTAATTATGTTGCTTGACTATTTTAAAAAACGTCTATTTTTGTCTTGGAATATAAGCGCATAGTCAACTATCTGTGAGGGGAGAGGATTCTCTCTTCATTCTTCTCATCTTCTTCCCTTCCTTTTCATAATTTTTGACTATTAAATCAAAATTATTAGATGGTCCAAATTTAATCTCTTATGAAATGTTTCATTTTATTTTTTTCTATTGGATTATTTAAATTTTCATATTAAATTTTTGGTAGTTTGAATTTTATTATTTATATTTTTTATAATTTAACATTTTAATAATAATTTTATAATAGATCAAATCTAAAGGCTAGAAAGGGAATACAAGGGAAGACGGTGAGAAGGAAGAGGAGAGAATCTTCTCCCCGGGTATGAGTGTGATAGAAAATAATTTTTGAGGATAATATATTCTAACATAATTCATTCCATTTAATTTATATAAACATATATGAGTATTTTCTTTTGCTCTTACCTCACAGGGAGACGCAATTCTCTTCATCATACATAGCTTCCCCTTCTTCCTCCAACCCTTTTATAATTATCATTTGTAATGTGATGTGAGTTTATCTGTATTAATAAATAATATACATGAAACACAAAAGACTAAGTTTAACAATCTTGACTAAGACTTCAAATATTAAAAATCTTATTATTCAAATTTATGGATATATATAGAATTTTGTATAATTTCAAACTATTATATATTAATATGAGAAAATATGTGTGTACATATATTACTTACTATACACATTTATATATATATATATATATATATAAATTATAGTACTTATTTGAAACTTAGTACCAATGTTGCCCACTACTTCACTTTGTAGGAGAGGTTGTGGGATCGAATTTTAGGGGTGCCCCACCAAGAAAACTTAGGGGATAAACTCTGAGAAAAGGGAGGGCGAACAAAACCACATATAAATATATTTTTAAAGATCTACACAATTAAAATAAAAGAGAATATGTTTTTTTCTGTTACCTACAAATATTTTCTTATTAAAAATAATTTCATTTGAGACACTGTTGGATATTACATGTAAGTACCTCTCTAATCAGGGATTTAAACTTGATTTTGAATATGTCAAATATTTATATCAAACAATTTACTACATGCCAGGCAGGGTAGATTTTGTCACAGCTCAAAACTTGGCTAAATAATTCTTGGCCCAATTTGCTTAGTCTAACTCAGTCTAGAAAACGGGTCGGACTAGTTCCATTGGGTCAGCCAAGTCCACCTAGTTGCTCATCTTTTAAATTTGAAAATTTTGTATACCTTGGGATTTCTTTCTTTTTCATACGACTATTTTGGTTGTATCCCACTTGTTTTGATATATTTTCAAACAGGCCTTGAGCTCTTGAGCAGTGGAGATGAAAGCAAAGAATAAACTCATTTAACTATGTTAGTATATATACCCAAGAAAATGAGATTTAAATTCCCAATTATTTGTTTAAGTAACAAGAGTCTTTATCACTTATATCAACTTAATAAATTTGTTAAATGATATAATTTTAGTTAGAGTAAGGAATAACTTGTCATTGAGCTTGATGTGAGTTTGTTGGATGATTTTGCAGTACATATCTGGGATATGCAGAATCCATATTTGATATAAAATGATGCACTAAAATTCTTGGTTTATATATATATATATATGAGTCCTCTTGCAATAGTTTTGGATTATTTGATTTTGTCTGATGCTATGATGAAAAGCAGCATGATATAATTCTGCTTCCATGGCTGGCTTTCATCATTTCATTGCCTGCGTCCTGAGTTTGGATTGTTATGCTTACACATTGTGTAACTCCTTAACTACTGAATTGATTAATTTGGCCTTTGATTGGTCAAAGGTATTGGCGCTCAATTGATTTCATATATTTTATGTTCTGATTCGCCAATACATATTGTCACGATCACAACTGAATACTTCTATGAAAGCTGACAAAATCAGAAAATTACAAAGGTAAAAGAGAAAATTGGCCCATAAACAAGAGGTCCAGAAGTTTGAGATCCTAAATTCATTTTTAATGTAAGTTGAAAATAGTGTAATCTAACCCCTTACTATTAACAAAAGTTATCTTTGACAAAATTATAAAAAATAACAAAAAATTACAGTAAATGACCCAAAAGTTACTGTAAAGAACCTAAAAAATTATATAAAAAGGAACCAAGAAAATTTTATTAGTCATTTTGTGTCATTTTTTGATGTCCTATTTTGTTATTTTTTGATCAAATAATGTCAAAGTTAACATTTGTTATTAGTAACAGTTATATTGTATCATTTTTAAAAATTAAAGGGAAACATTATATGAAAATGAGTTTAAAGTTTTAGACACTTCTTGTCGAATTTCTTTGGAGTGGACGCATAGTCACATATATAGGCAATTATTTACTATGTAATGCGTTTGCAATTGACATTGAAATTAATTGACTCACAGTAGGATGGCGCGCAATTGGAATATTTAATACCTAATAATGATACACAAACCTCAAGGGATTCTTACCCATTGGAAAAAACATCTTTCTCCTCCTGTACCACGGATGAAAATGCTGTGGTTTAGTTCTCCTACGGAAGGGAAACAAAATTAATAATAACTAATAAAATAATCAACACACATGAAACGGCAATATATACATGCTCGCTCACCTTGTCCTTTTCTTTGTGTTGTTGATATTTCTTTTGGAAGTAGTCTTGAACTTTCTCAGGAGCTTCTTGGGTGGTTCAGAAGGAAGAGAAGCTATCGCTCTTCGTTTCTGTGAAGTTCTAGAAGACTTGAACTGGACATTCTTCATGTTTGTTTGCTTCTTGTCGACATAAACTCCACAGTTAACTATGTCTATATCATCTGAGTCACATGTAACTTGAATTTCCACGTCATTCCAATCCAATTCCAGAAATTTATTAAGCCCCCCTAACTCTTCTTCTGTAAATTCGCCGAGGAGATCAGAGAAAAACACATGACCTTGTTCAGTATAAGAAACCAAAACACGACCTCCTTCACCTAGAATTGGAAAATCAATTTGCATCCATGGCATTTTGCTACTGCCATTGATGATCATAAAGACATCAAAGTAGCATGTCTTATTTCTGTTAGCCTTCCCTGTCTCAAATGCGATGACAACACGAGGGAAATTTCTGCCATGAACACGAAAAGACAACATCCCTCCTTGACAGCGATGGTCGAACCAGTCAGGATATGCTGTTGCTGGCATCGAGATGGTCACGCGATTGGACTTTATGGCCTAATTTATCAAAACAACAAAATGCTTGGTTTCATTCCAAAAGAGAAAATGGTTATTAGCTTCTCGTAGCTTCCTGCCAAACCCTAATTTTATATGGTTTGTGTTATCTTGTACAGGAAAATACACAGTAGTGACAATGATTTAGAGCTTATTTGATTTTGTTCTCGTTTTGATTTTTTAAAAATTATTTGTAAACCACTTTTTAATTTTTTTAAAAAAATAAAAAAATAAAAGAAAATCTGATTGATTATGTTATTTTCAAGACAATTTCATAGCTAAAATATTAGCCGATAATAGAAGTCATCAAAGACTATATTGGCCGTGGTTTATGACAGTGATTTATCATAGTTGATGGTAGTTTTAAGAGTAGAATATAGTGTGCTTTCAAAAAAGAAATGCAAAAAAAATCTAATATGTTTTTCATTTTTAATTTTAAAAATAAAAAATGAGTAAAATTTTAAAAATATTTAAATGAAAAATACTTAATTAAGTTTTTTTTAATTTTTGTTTTAAAAAATGGAAAACAATTTTTAAAAGAAGAAATCAAACTGGCCTTTATCTAGTGACATGTGAGCAGAAAAGATCAACTAAAAAATCTATCAGCTTGTACATTAATTTGCTGATAGTGATAGAAGTCAGAAGAGAATGTCAATATTAAAAGGATTTTAAGAACAGAAACCCAAATCCAAAATAAACTCCTAAATTAAAAGTAGAGGGGCTTTGCAACATGAAATAATTAATCTGACTATCTTACCATTCAAACTTTATTTAACTTGATTAATTTATAAAATAAAAAATAGAAAAAGCATGAGAAAAACCTGAGACCATAAACGGCCCGAAGACTCCATAGTTAATGATGTGCAATTCTCTGCCCTTATGTCCCCTAATCTTGATGGAAGCTCTGGAATATCTCTGAGTCTCTTGCAGTTATTCACTTCTAGGTTCATCAAGTGAACACACTCTTTAATACACTCAGGAAGTGACACAAAATCGTTCCATGATAGAATCAAGTCTTTCACATGCTTAAAACATTTCAGAGGTAGGTGAAGATCTTCATCCAACAAACCACAATCATGGAGATCCAAGCGATCTAACTTCGAGCAGCTCATAATTGGTGGTTGGTTCTCTTGCAATAATTTCTTCAAAGATTTTCTCCCATGAAGTTTCAGACCTCCTAATTTAAGCCCTTTAAGATTATGCAATGTCAATAAGCTGTTTGGAAGCTTCCTAAGACTTTTGCAGGATGTTAAACTCAAAACCTCAAGCCTTGGAAGATTTCCAATGGAAGATGGGAGCTCATTAATAGCACTACCATCTGCAAGAATACACATCAATGGTTCCATGTTTCCCACAATGTGTGGGAAGTAGTCAAGACTCTGGCAATCAATGAGATTAAGAACTTCAAGAGATGGCATCTTGATTTCATGTGGAAAGCTTGCAAGTTTGATGCATTTGCTAACGTCTAATTCGACAAGCTTACGGAGAGATCCTACTGAATCATGGACTTTGATCAGATTGTGACATTCACTAAAGCTCAATTCTTTCAAATTTTGAAATCGAGACAACTCAGGTACTTCTGTTATGAATTCACACTTCGAGAAATCCATATATGTCACATATTCAAGCTGCAAAACAAAAACTAGCATTAAGAGCTGTTTGGGAAATCAACTTTTGCCTCATGGAAAGTACTTTTGGAACTTTCTGACAAAAATTGTTTGGGTATTAAATTTGTACCCAAATCATATCTTGATAAAGCACATTTCGAAAGTTGTTGGAAGCACATTTACTGAACATAAAGGGTCTTACTTTTGAAACTGAATTTGGAGGCATTTACAAGGGAGCTAAAAACGTATACCTAACTATTTATTTGACCATGTTACCCTGATTAATTTCCAGTATTTATGTATCTTGAACTATTTATATAATTTTTGTCCATTATATCAAATTTTATATTTTTTATTATTTAACATATTATAATTTTTATCATATATATTTTCAGTCATTTCTAATATATTGCATTTGTATCACGAAAATTACAAATAATAAAAGTCAATGTCCTTTTTATCAATAATACATCCAAAAACAATTTTAATTGTGAAATCTAACCAATTTTTAATTTTACCAAACTGATTTTTGAAAAAAAAAATTATGCAAACAGAAATTTCGTAACAATATAACTGAGTTTTAAGAAATGAATTTTAAATAAGGAAAACATTTTTAATATAAAATTCAAATTCAAATACACTAATCTAAACACTGCCTCAAGAGATTTATGCATATTTAAGAAATACATCAGAGGTTTTTTAAATGATCAAAAGAAATAAAAACACAGCTGAAATAACTAGGTGGAGTTGGTTACATGGATTGTGTGACACCATTATACTCTATCATCAACCAACAAGCTCTTAGGAACATTGTTAATTAAGAGTTCTCATTCAAAGAACAAAGAGTGAAAAAATGTACCTTGAGTGGTTCCTCCCATCTAAAAGGGCTTCCGTATATCTTGAAGCAAATTAGTTTTGGAGGACAAAAATCACGTGGTAAAGTCATGGAAGGATATTCCTGCCAATCAAGTAATACTAAACTATTTGGAAGATATTTAGGGCTTGCTGAAAATTTGGTATTGCGAACAATAAGAATTCTAAGATTATTCATCTTCTCAAAGGCTAAACCACTCCACTCCACTTCTTCTTGTTGAGGTGGATCAAGAACTATTCCTTCAATATTATTTCCTCCCTGTAATTCAAGCACAAAGGTGAACAAAGTTAGGTATTGCCAAATTTTATTGTGTAAGAATATATATATATATATATATAATAAATTAAAACGAATAACAAGAACTAAAATCTTACTAAGTTTTCACGCAGTACTTTGAGAACATCTTTGTGATACCATAATCTGCTGCATTCACTAGGATCACATGGTGCTTCTTCTTTAGCAATGTCTCTGCCCATATGTTGAATTAGATCATGCATGTACAAGTAACCATGATCAAGAATAGTTATCAGAGATTTGTCAACAAGAACTTCAATATAAAACCTTGCCCCACAATGACAAGCTTCTAGTATTGCTTCAACAAATTCCAATTTCTTCTCTTTAAAGAAACAAGCAATATCTAAAAATATACGCTTCGCACCGTCTTGTAAGCAATCATAGCTTATCTTAAGTACATGATTAATAGTTCTCTCTTGGATCTCATCATATTGCTTCAATATAGATCTCCATTCCTCAATGCTTTTATTTGCCAAATTGGAGCCTATTAATTTTAAAGCCAGAGGAAGACCATGCACATACCTTATAACATGAATTGACATGCCTTTATAGCGTCTCTTAGGTTGGCTCAAACCAAAGGCATACCAGCAAAAAAGTTCAATGGAGTGAAGGTAATTTAGCTCCTTCATTTCATATGTTCTTTTAACATTACATGCTATTAGTAATTGCTTATTTCTTGTTGTTATAATGATCTTGCTTCCAGATCCAAACCAATCGCAACTGCCAGCGAGTTGTTCTAATTGTTCAACCTCATCAACATCGTCAAGAACCAACAAAACCTTTTTGCCAGAGAGTCTGTGTTTTATGTTTGATATTCCTTCATCAACACTACCAAACTTCATCCTCTTCTCTTCAAGAATCTCTGATAAAAGTGTCTGTTGAAGGCGAACAATGCCCTGATACTTGTTTGATGTTTCTTTGACATCAAACAAAAAACACGAGCCTTCAAATTGGTAGAAGATCGAATTATAGATGGCTTTTGCAATCGTTGTTTTGCCAACCCCACCAGTTCCATGAATCCCCAACATACAAACCCGATCATCAGATCTGTTCAGAAGTAACATTATCTCCTCAATACGAGGCTCAAGTCCAACTATATGATCAGTTTTATGGCAGCGCTTAGGTGGTAGCACGGCATACGCATCTTCGACAATCCTTTCAATGAATCCAAGCTCGTACCTACAGAAACATATCCTCTTTTTAATTTCAAGATGATTCACACTAAATGTCTTCTTTTTTATGTTTTTTGATCTTTCATAATATATTTTTGCTATAAAATCTTATTTTAATTAGTTCTTTGAAGGAAACTTCGATATCAATATGCTCTCGGTTTTTTTATTCTTTCACATGCAAAAGTTTTTTTATTTTGAAATTATAAATCTGTAAAAATATTTGCTGCTCTCATGGTCACATTTAATTAAGAAAACTAAAAGAATCAGGGTGCAATGAACGTGTATGCGAAAGAATAAAATATTATGCAGTCCCGTAATTAGGTCTATTTGGCCAAAAAAAAAAAAGTAATAAAAAATCATCTCAGCATCTTCAAATATAAAATTTAATTCAAAATACATTATGCACAAAGTACGTGTGTGTGTGTGAACAGTATAATTTATTTTTTAGACTCAATATAATACATACGAAGATCGACATGTCTAGTTTATTTAAAAGGAAAAATGATTTTTTTTTTTCATATATCAATGGCCCATATAGTATTGCGTTCCGAAAGTAGATTAGTAGAATTAGAATAAGAACTGGATTCAGAAGCCTTTAAAACAAAATAGCAAGACAGCCAGGATGAATAGATTGTATGCTTCAAAGCATATCTTCTACTCGATTCATCAAAATCCTCACGTGGTCACATTTGATGTAGAAGGATAATTATCTTCGACGTTTCATCGGTCCAGTGATTATCATATTAGCAAATTTCAAAAAAAAATTATTTTGTGATTTTATTGGTAAAATTAAAAAAATTACAGTTAAATATTAATATGAAAATTTTTATGTTAAAAAACTTAAATTCTAGATTTTTTTTAAAGACTCAAAAACTTAAATACTTCAAAAAAAAAACCTTTCAAGACTTGAGTTTGTAGAGATTGACCTTTAGACTTCTGAAAATGGAGGGAGAAAACCAACCGATGATAAGAAATGAAAAATACCACATCATGCACCACTCAATCTTAAGCTTGAGTTTTTAATCCTTTCAACTTTTTATCATGTTCAAGTTTTTTCATATTAACTCAAGTCCGATTATATTTGGACATTTTAATCATTAGCACGTCAATTATTTCATCAGAAACCGCCAATAGATTGATAGAAAGTCTCATAAGGAACAAGGCAATCAAACAAAACCTACCCATCATCAAAAAGCCATGCTGACGACAAGCTAGCAGCTTCAGACAAAGCAGACCTCCATTTTCGCACTTTCTCCAGGTCATCGCTGAATCTATCTTCAAGAGCAGCCACGGCTTCCTCAAAGCTATTTCTCTGATACTGAACATCCATCGGATCCACCTTGTAAAAGATGGGCATCACCACCTGCTTCTTCTCCTTCATACACCGGACGATGTGGGCGAGTTCGTCTAGGCACCATGTAGAAGTAGCGTAATTGGTAGAGAAGACAATAATGGAAATTCTGGACCTCTCTATGGCTTTGAGAAGCGTAGGAGAGATCTCTTCCCCTTTTCCAAGCTTCTTGTCATCAATGAAGGCGTTGATTCCCTTACGTCGCAAAGCATCGTAGAGAATTTCAGTGAAGGAGCGGCGAGTATCCTCGCCTCTGAAACTCAGAAAAACATCATATTCATATCTAAACTTGGTTTCGCTAGTGAAGCTGAAGGATGAAGAAGGTGAGGCCACTGGAATCGCCATATGGGGGCTGCGATAATCGCAATGGTGAGGCTAATTGAGGTTGAAAGCTGAGGTTATGAGAGGTCCATGGATTTCATTTGGTTGTTGTGATATGCGATATCTCCCAAGTATATGGTTAAACTGCGAATCGAGATGGAGATTATCCCCGGAAATAAGTAATAAATTAATTTACCAAAATATAAAAGAAAAATAACATTTAAGGATCCTAAAATTTTGAAATTTCAAAAAAGACTATATGATCCTTTGTTGGAATTAAATTTTTCTAAGTGAATTTTTTCAATATTCATTTTTCATATATTTTTAGTATTCAGCTTCCACATTTTCAGTATTTAATTTTAGCTATTTCAGTGCTCAATTTTTCACCAGTCATCTTATATATTTTCAATACTCATCTTCCATAATTTCAACACTTTTCTTTGATTCATTTCAGTACTTAAAACATGAAAGATGAGTATTGAAGATATCTAAACTGTTGAAAAGTTAAAAACTAAGTACTGAAAATGTTGAAGATGAGTTCTAAAAATATGAAATATAAGTACCAAAAGCAATTTACTGAAAAAGTTTTAATTTCAGCTAAAGACCAAGACCCATATCTGAAATTTCAAAATTTTAAACTCGATCTTAATGTAATTAATGTTCTTAGGGGTCTTTAAATGTCATTCTTTTCAAAAATATGTACGGAGATTTTTTTTTTTTTTCCGATAGCATACATTGAGAGATTTATGCAGAGAGATTTTTAATTTTTGAATGACTCCATATATGAATTGTTGTGTGCGAGGCAAAATTTTTAATTAAAAATAAAATTATTTTAATAATATTTATCATAAGTAATTTTTAAAAATATTTTATTAATATGAATATCAAAGTGATAAATTAAACAGCAGTCTCACCCGTCTATGCTGAAAATGGATCCAAATGATGCAGAGGATGGACCCTTGTTATTCTTTGTTTTTTTTTTTTACTTTTATATCGTTTCTTGAAGTAGCTGTTTTTTTTTAATGTGTGAGGAAAAAATCTTAAAAAATTAATATATTAGTATTAATTAAATTTTTTTTATAATATTTATGATAAATATTTTTCTATATAAAAATGATTAAATAAAACTGTAGTCTCATCCGTTAGTGCTAAAAAAGGGTCTAAACGGTGCACAAGATTATTTTTCTGGGCGAAAATTTTGGTGAGAAGCCCTTAACTCAAACTTAATTTTAGTCCAAACCTTTAAAATTATGAAATTTCACTGCACATGTGGGGACTAAAATGACTTTATTTGTCCTTGGTGAAGCTATTAACAATAACAACTAATGAAGGATATGAACAACTGATATATATTGAAAATGAATAACTAATGTAGGTGAAATTTGCAATTTTCATTAACAACATAACACTTATGAATTTGAAACTCACATTCCACCTGCATCAATTGTTTATTTTTCATACATTAGTTATTTAATTTCCTTACATGAGTTGTTCATTTGTTTAGTTTCACTTGTTTATATTTGTAGTAGTGTTATGCTATTAATAAGATTTAAAAATTTCTCCTGCATCAATTGTTCATTTTCCATGTGTCACTTATTTATTTTCATATACTAATTGTTCATTTAACTAGAAGGACAATAAGGTCATTTCAGTCAGCTCTCTAATTTCATTTCAATCCCTCACGTATGCAATAAAATTTCAGTATTTTAGAGGCTTTTACTAAACTTAAACTGAATCAATTGGTCCTCACTAAAATTTCCCCTTTTCCTTGCTGATTAATTGATGGTGCAGAAGATGAAGCCTCGCTTTTGTTGGACTTGCATCGTTTCTTAGAGCACTTGTTTTGAAAATAAATAAATAAGTAAAACACTTTACGAAAAATTTTAATTGATGACAAAATTTCTTCTGTTGGATATTCTTGTCTTACTTTTGCAGCAATATTTTATTGATGTTTGATATTTTGTACTAGCAAATTGTGTTTAAATGTCAATAACAAGTTGTTTCAGTGGGAATGCCACTTGCTTGCTGAGTGCTGAGGTGCTCAAACCCTACATTGAGATATGGATGCGTGAGTTGTAAATAATAATTGATTACTTTCAACCAAAAAAAAAAGTTAACTAGAAGACTCCAATTTAAGACTCTATGGTATTACTATTATCGATCCCTACTTTTTCTGAAGAATGACATTAAAGTCCCAAAATAATCATGAATTTATGATAGTTAGATTTCTGATAAATTTTTTTACAACATCAGGTGTAAATATTAATTTAGACACTTGCAAATTCAAAAGTTTTAAATGCAAATATGATATTTAAATTTTAAATATGAATCTGTAATTGAAATTCCTATTTAAAACTGTTTGGATTAATATTTGTAGCTTATTTCTTAAAAAAAATTTGTTGGATATCAATCTAACTGTCATAAATTTTCTATTTTGTGACTTTATGTAATTCTCCCTTCTTTATTCCCACTTCTCCTTCTTAATTAGTTCTGCCATATATAGGATTTGAACTTAGAAGATCAAGTGCAGCTAAAGAGCTTCAAAATCGAAACCATTATTTTAGAGAGAGAGAGAGAGAGAGATCCTTGGCCACTGCCACTTGATAATGGAAACTTTAAAGTACTGCTGTTTACCATGTATGATTGTCGGAGTCTTGGTCTATTGAAAGCATAGAAGGGTATTTGATTCTACTGGCTGTGATAAACGTCACAATCTGTATATATTGTATTTGATTCTATAAGCTGAGGGAAACTTGGAGAAATGTTAGAACCTATGAAATTTTTCACGGTCAAGTATTTAAGTTTCAAATCATCAGCCTTTAAATTTTATTACAAGTGTAAAATCATACAGTCTTCTGGTCTTATTTATAAATCAGTTACAATATACTCCTTTTGTTTCTATATATAAGAAAAAAATTGTATTATATAATTTAAAAAAGTTAGTTAACCATAATAATTATGTCTGAAAATAAAAAATTTTGATTAAAATTTCCTATGTTAATCAATATTAGCATGCATTAATTATTTTTCATTAATGTAAATTATGAGGAATGATTTAAAAAATGTGTAATAAATGTTTATTGAAATAGGTGATTTTGCTTATATAAAAAAAAGTAAAAAGTGATAGTTTTTCTTACAAATAAAAACGGAAAGAGTATTTCTTCCATAGAAAATTTTAAAACTTATTAACTCTATTTAAAAACTTAATAAGTTTTCAACTTTATTCCCATTAAAAACACACACACACACACACACACAATATATTTTCTCTCTTCAATATTCAATGTAAGGTAAAAAGAAAAATTTGTGATAAAAAATAAATAAAATAACTAATAAATAGGACAAAAAAATCATTTTCCCTCTATCCTATAAATAGAACCGGAGCGAGTAGTAATTAAGATGGACAATAATTATCTTGAATAACACTCATGATCCTAATTATAAGGCAAAAATTTAAAATCTAATTTAATCCAATATTATAGTAGTTAATTTTTTTTAATATTACTTCTTAATTGCACCAATTTGCAATTCTTAGACACTTTATTGTGGTTATTAATTTTAATGAGTGCATGACAAAATTGGAAATTGAAAATATAAAAAAATTTATTAACATTATCTTATAATTAAGATCGGAGGGAAAACAATTTAGAAGTAAAAATATAATTTAGGAATCCGATGCTTTCATTGTTAGAACGTATGAATGACAATTAATTTTGAAATTTACGAATAAAAAATAAATGTAAATTAAAAGATGTCTTAATGCTTTCTTTGGAAGAAGCGGACCCTCAACAGCGAGCGGCTTAATTGTTTAAGGCCGAACTAACAATTAATATTTATTTTTACGAATATTAATAAAACAACACTGCATGGTACGTACATCGATGCTATGGTGGATTCAACTGTCATTAAAAACTTAGCCTTATTTAGAGTCAGTAATTTGGGTCAAGTTCGACAGGCTAACCCAAACTCGCCTAAAAAATATAGACTCGAGCCCGAATAAAATAATAGAAAATTCGAGACAAGCCTGATCAGGTTCAGGTTTGGCCCAAATACCCAAATAGAAAAAATATATTTTTAAAAAATATATATAACATAATAAATATTAATTATTTTTTAAATTTTATATCATTTTATTTTAAAATACCATATATTTGAGTATATTACTATAGTTATTTTAAAAAAATAAAATTATATTTTCCTATTTTTATAATTTTTAATCAAATAAAATATATCAAAACAATAATTAAAATATATTTTAATATTAATTTTTATACTTTAAGACTCAATCATTTTTTTAGAAAAATTGAGCCATGTACACCACTTTCTTCTCCAAAAAATTATATTTTATATTTTTTATAAAATAAGATAATTAATTTTAAATTAAAAATAATTTCAAAAATAAAATTTAGGTATGTACAAATTCCGGCTTTACTAGTAAACAAACATAATAAATAAACTAATATTTTTAGATAATTATTTGATTATCATCCACGTCAGACTTAGTTAAAAATTAAGAATGAACTAAAATAAATACTCTTTGTATATAGGACTTAAACAATATAAAAGGTTAAAGAAAAAATTTCAAAAAATATTATTTTATCCATAATTAAATGATTTTTTTATATAATATAATGATGGCTTTTTCTCCTATTTTTAAAAATGAAAAGTACAATTTATCTAATAGTTGTTAAAAATTTTGAACTAATTAGGACAATAATTTTAAATTAGTGGTCTAACCGTAGTTGAATTGAGATTAACTTGATCATAATTAAAATAATATGATTTAATTAAAATATATAAATATTTTTATATAACCATGATAAGGAAAATATTTAAATAAATAAGACATCAATTTACAAGTAAAGGAAACATTCATGAATAAATTGCAAATAATACAATAAAATAGTAACATAGCTACTTAAGTACTTAACTACAAAGTTAATAAATTATTATTTTTTATTCCTTTTAAGTTAAAAAAATATTTTATGCTTAATAAAATTATTTAAAAATTAAAATTGATTAAAAAAATATTTTTTAAAAAGTTTTGAGTATTCGGGCCGGCCCAAATAAGCTCGAAGCTCGAAGGTGTTAGGGTCAGGCTTAACTATATGGGC